AAAATCAAATTATATAGGCAGCCAAAAGTTGTGTACTGAACTGTGCAAGATTCCAATTAATCTCACCACTTCAGGGCTGTAGCATTATTGAAAGGAATAAAATTGGGAACCTAAACTTTCTGTGATTACATTCTTTGATTTACATGAAATAAAATGCTTTCCTTTTGTTATTATGAAGTTTCTAAATAAATCCTTCTAAACACTTCATAGTTCAAACCTTTATAACCAATGATTTATTGATCTGAATGGAAGGAATACAGTTTCTCTTAAGCAGCTCTTGAGTTCAAGTTTTATAAATAGAGAAAAAAATATTGAGAGAGTTTCTCTCTTATGAGGTTTGACGTGATTTAATTCTGAATTAATCGGAACTCATTATGGCTTTCAAATACCGAGGTTGGTACCAAAAAAATAGTTCAAACCTTTGTTTCTCCCTTTAGTTAGCATAATGAAATTTGGGTCTGATTACCTTTATTTGGTATTTTTAAGATGCTAGAGGTGAAACAGAGAATTCTAATGATGTTTCTAATAGCCAAACTGTGATTTAAATGTTTTTAAATAATAATTGATATACTTTTTGGTTAAAACATTTCATAACTCATTTATTAAAAGATTATTATTTTTAAATTTAAATTCAAAATAGAAAAAATTTCAATTACAAAACTTAATAGTTGAATTGGTGTACAATAATAAATATGTTGAATTAAAAAGTGTACCAATTATTTTGGTTTTTTCAAATGGTGGTGGTGTGGAAGTTGGGTAAGATATTCATTGTTGTTCAAAGAATATTTCAATGGTCATAAAAATTGAGTCCAAAAGTTGGGAAAAGAATAAAAAAACATCAAAAGAACACTTTACATATTCTTTCAAATCAATCACAGAAGATAATTTAGGTCGATTTAATCCCAAAAACTATCAACTTAAAAATCATACTTTGTTAACTAAAATTTGCTACTTTGATTCCCTAAATCATTATGCGTATTATAATAATGCTTAATGAACAAGGAAAATGATTTTTTTTTAATGAAAGAAAAAGTAATGTTCCTTAAAGATGTCAATTTAGAGGGGAAATGACTATAATATTTTTTAATTGCCCTTTGAGAATCATGTTATGATGGGTATTGTAGTAATTTTCAATCTGAACAAACATGTTTTTTTTGCCCTTAGAGAACGTTATTGACGAAAATTATCGATCAATTATGTATATATAATTGACAATCATTTTATTGATTATACTAGTTTTAATGTTACACTAATTGATTCGGGTCTTGTTTAATCAACATCCATTTTGTAGATTAAATCCGTTATAATTGACAAAAAAAAAAAATATTTATGTCGATTATATTTATTTTCAAACTTGACTCTTGGTCTCACAATATATAGCATTAGAATCA